GGTCCCGGCCCAGGCCCGGTCCTGCCCCCCAGCCGCATCTCTCCAGGCCGGGGCAGGCTGGCGCCCAGGTCCCTGTCGCCCCGGTCCCTTGCTGCCCGGGCTGTCTGGCTGTGGAGCAGAGACCTGGCAGCGAAGCAGCAGCCTGGCAGGGGGGGAGGGTTAAAGGCTGAGCGGAGGGCGGGGGGCTCGGCCAGAGCGATCGTCAGAGGGGACCTATCAATCATGCAGCAGCTCTCAGGGGACCCCCAGGTCCCTGCAGGGCCTGGCTGTCAACCACGGGCCTGACCCGGTCTGGCCCGGGGCAGCGCCGCTCGGGGTCCTGACGCGCAGCTCGTCCCCGCAGGGCTGGAGGAGCGGGGGCTGCGGGTGGGGATGGAGTGGATGGGAGGGGGCTGTGGGGGGCAGCAGGGGTCAGGGGCTCTGCTCCACAGCCCCCTCCCACTCCCAGCACCATCAGTTCAGGTTACAGATGTCCCAGCGTGGACATAAATAACTAACGAGAGCAAGCCCAGCGCTGCTGCCATGAAATATTCATGGCGCCTGTAACCGAGCGGGTGACTCCGAGTTCAGCGCCTGGCAGGCTGCACGGCCTGGGCTCCGGCAGCGGGACAGGGGCATGGGGGTCACGCAGCGCTGCCCTGCCAGCCCGGAGCGGGGCCCTCCTGGCGTCTCCATCCCGGCTCCCCGGGGCTCAGGCCCTGTGTGGCAGGGGGTGCGAGGGGGAGACTCCATCCGTCCGCCTGCCCCTTTTGCTGCCCGCCTCTGCCCGGCCACCCAACCATGACCCTTTGCACCCCCGTGCCAGTCCCGCCCTCCAGCCCTCTGGGTCTTGTGCTCGCTGCTGGTCCCTGACTCGCGCAGGCACAGGCCTGGTGTCACCGCCCTTGGGCCCTGGGGCCCTGAGCCGGCCATGCCAAGCAGGACTTGATGGGCACCTCCCCGTGTCTCTGTGCTAGATGCGCCCCGGACGCTGCTGGCCCTGGGCCAGGGGCCGTGCTGCTGCCCTGCTGCTCCTGCTCGCGGCCCTCTCCTCCCACCCCGCGCTCGGGGAAAGGGGGCGGAAGAAGGTCGTCCACGTGCTGGGTGAGTGGGGGTGGCAGCTGGCCCAGCTCTTTCCCCTCCGCGCCCCGTCGGGGCGTCCCACACCCCTGCCCCAGGGAGGGCTGCAGAGTCACCTCTGGGGGTGCCATGAAAACAGCCCGACCCAAGTTCATCCTGGCTGCACCGAGTGGGGAAACTGAGGCATGGGGGTGGGGGGCTGACCCCCAAAGCACATGGATGGGAGGAGCTGGGGGGTGCCCCTAATTGGTGCAGGGCCACGCTTGCTCTGCCCCCTCCCCTGGCACCAGTGTGAGATAACCGAGCGCTCACCCCCATTCAAATCGGAGCGGGGGGGTGCTCTGCTTTCAGAGTCTGGCCTGGTGAGGGGGGTTCGAGCGCGGCCTGCAGCCCTGGCCTGCTCTGCAGTGTCCGCCACGGCATTTTGCAAACCCTGTGAGCTGCAGAGCGTGGGACCCGGCCCCCTGGGCTCCCTGCCCACGCCTGCACTGGCCGGGGCTGCAGGCGAGAGGCGTCCGCTGGGGAAGCCCCCGAGCCCTGCAAAGCAGAGGGGCCGAGGCACAAGGGGGACTTGGAGGGGTCCCAGTTTGCTTTGCAGCACAGAGCACCGGGGTGCCCAGGTTGGGTGCAGGGGGCGCGGGGCAGAAGGGCTCCGGGGCACTGAGGCCGGCGCCTGTGCTCCCAGAGGACGACAGCGGGGCCGTGGTGGTGCAGACGGCACCGGGGAAGGTGGTGACGCACCGGGGCGGCACCATCATCCTGCCCTGCCGCTACCACTACGATGTGTCGGCCCACGACCCCGACGAGATCCGCCTCAAGTGGACCAAGGTGACGGAGCCCATGGCCTTCGTGGATGTCTTCGTGGCCATGGGCAAGGAGCGCCGCGCCTTCGGGAGCTACCGGGAGCGCACGGCCCTGCAGGAGGATGGCCCCGGCGATGCCTCCCTCATCATCCGCAACGTCACGCTGCAGGACTACGGGCGCTACGAGTGCGAGGTCACCAACGAGCTGGAGGACGACGCTGGCATGGTCAAGCTGGACCTGGAAGGTACTGGGGGCCCCGGGCCTGCCCCATGGCACGTACAGCTTGCACGCGCAGGCCCAAAGCCGGTGCCGAATAGCTCGCGTGTACCCAGACACACCAGCAGGCAGATCCCCAGGGGAGGATTTTTTGGTCCATGGAGAGGCAGGATGGGCAGAGCCTGGGGGCCCAGAGGGTGAGAGCAGCTGCTGCAGGGCAGTAGCCCCTGGCCTGGGGCTGCCTTGTCTCTGGGGCTGGGACAGTCACAAGGCCAAGGGACAGGGAGCAGTCGGGGGAGAGAAGCCCTTGCCGTGCTCCTGGGAGCCCCGCTGTCCATCCCCGCACTCTTGCTCAGCCCTTGGCAGGCCCAGGAGCGGGGCCCGGGGATGGGAGGACGGTGCCTGCAACAGTGCCAGGGACATGGGCGGGCGCCTCGCTGCTCACCTTGGCCTACTTCCTTGGCGAGCGCGAGCCCAGGCTGCTAGGTGGAGGAGCCCCAGCCCCATGCGGGGCAGATTGGAGTGTGGGGCTGGGGGTGGCAAGGGGCTGAGGACCCCAAAGTTGGCAGGTGACAACCTCCACCCTGGTGCTCCAGTACTACGAGGCCTTTCCCCATGCCAGACCCTGCCCTGTGCACCCTTGAGCCTTCCAGGTTTGCAAACTCTCCTGGGTCAGGCTCCCTCCCCCGTGCCTAACCTGGCAGCAAGTAGCTAGCTGAGCACGGAGAGCTGGCATCCAAGCACCCCCGTGCCCCGTCACGGCTGGGGCATAGTGAGTGAAGTGAGCAGTGATGACTGGGCAGCACGTGCCCTCCGTCGTGGCAGGCTGTTGTTCGGGCACTTGCGGCGTGGTTTATCGAGCCTGTTATTGGCTTTTATTGTTGCTCCAGGTTTATGGGCGGGCAGCTCATAAACGCCAGAAACAGATCGCGGCGCAGGCTCATAAAGCATCTGCCAGGGCGGGCAGCGCGGAGCAAATTGCAGCCAGTGGGAAGGGGGGAGAAATGAGGGTGTCCCGTGCACAGCCCTGGCCCTAGACACCCTGAGCTGGCTCCCCCTGACTGCAACAGGGCCGAGCTCTGGGCTTCGCCATGAAGGACCACGAGGAGACTGCTCTGACCTGGCCCCCAAAGGGAGAAAATCAGGGGAGGGGGCCAAGTCCCCCCCATGCAAATCTTCCTTCCTCACCCAGCCCGCACAGCCAGCCCGTGGTGCAAGGCTGAGAGCATGTGGACAGGTGGGCAGTCACTTGCTGGCTGGTGTTTGTGGTGGCAGGGGCCATCGATGCAGCAGGGGTACAACTATTTTGCATCCCCTGGAGCATTTGCCCCTGGGGCACCGTAGCCTGGCATCATGTCTCCGGCAGGGGCAAGCACTGGGGAGGTCTCGTGCACTGCAGCTGAGCAGGGGGAGCATAGTGCACCCAGGGCAGCGGGTCTGAGGGGCTGCTTTCTGCCCCCGGTGCTGGGAGGTGGTGCCCTGCCGCTCCCCCTGCCATGGCTGTGCTGTGTCCCCCGGCAGGTGTGATTTTCCCCTACCACCCGCGCCTCGGGCGCTACTCTCTCAACTACCACGAAGCGCAGCAGGCATGCCTGGAGCAGGACGGCATCCTCGCCTCCTACGACCAGCTGCACCAGGCCTGGCTGGAGGGCCTGGACTGGTGCAACGCGGGCTGGCTGGACGACGGCTCCGTGCAGTACCCCATCTCCCGGCCCCGGGAGCAGTGCGGCCGCAAGGACACGCCCGTGGGCGTCCGCAATTACGGCTACCGGCACAAGGACGATGAGCGCTACGATGCCTTCTGCTTCACCTCCAACCTCAACGGTAAGGCCCTGCTCTTCCCTGGGCCTGGGGCAGCCAGGGCAGCGTCTGGGCCCAGAGGGCAACGCTCCGGTAATTGGGACTGTTCTTGGGTGGCAGGCAGGGCTGGAGGGACCCCAGGGAGGGTTTGAATGCAATATGGTGCTTAATTCACTAAGGTGCTGATGGGGAAAGGTCATGGTAGGGAGGGGAAACTGAGGCACAAGGGAACGCACCATGCACAAACTCCTGCCAGACACTCAGCATGGGGATGGACCCTGCAGGGAGGCAATTCCCTGCATCCGGCTGGGTCTCCCCCACCCCTGGCATTGCTGAGGGCATGAGTGTGGGTGCCTGGCTCGTGGAGCAGGGCATAGGGAGGCTCGGGGCCTTCTGTGCCTGCAGAAGTGGCTCCTGGGGGCTGGGACCAGCCCAAGCCCCGCTCAACAACGCCTCTCCATCAGTCCCTGCCCAGGCTGGCACCTCTGGACCCTGCAGCAGGGCAGCGATTGCTCCTGCTGGAAATGTCAAGACTTTTCATAGGAAGAAGCAGCCCCTGGAGCTGCAAAGAGCAGAGTGATTCCTGCTCCCGGTGTCCAAGCCCACAGCCCCCCGCTCCCCCCGCCACAGTGCTGCTCATTGCACCAGATCCTGCTCTGGGAGAACCAGAGATCTGCCCCTCAGCTCCTGGCTTCAGCGTGTGCCAGCCCCAGACCAGAGGCTGCAAGTCAGCCCCTCGCCCCAGCCGGCCGGGCTGGCTGCTGACAGGCGGCCCAGAGAGCCAGGTCCGGCTGGGCGCTGCTAGAAGGCAGGTAGCGTGCAGGGACACACCGTGCGGGGGTCGTTTGACCCCTGCAGTCTTTCCTGCCCGGAGCAGGAGGTGGATCTCACAAGGCCCCTTGCAGCCCTAAACTTGTGTGTGTGCATGCATGCATGTGCAGATGTGATTTCCCCCTCCCCAGAGAGCGCTGGCTGCCCTGCCCGGGCCCACGCGGCCCCGCATCCTGCCGGGTGGGCACTAGCTCATCTCTCTGCAGCTTTGCTCTGCCCAGGCATTGCTCTTCCCTGCCTCTACCTGTCAGGCATACCGCATCTGGCCTGGCCCTATGCTCCCCACCACCCCGCATCATAGAAGCCTTCCTCCCCTCCCCCACAGAAACGCTCCATCCCCATTACAGGAGCTCGGACGCCGCTGGGACTTTATCCCCTGCCTGCAGCACCTGGCGCCCAGGTGAGGCTGTGACCTCCCTGCTCATTGGCCCAGGGCGGTGGCACTCAGGAAGGGGCGGGCAGAGGATTAATTAGGCGCTGAAAGAGTGGAGGAGGGTCATTAAGGGTCTCAGCCAGGTGCTGCAGGGGCAGCAGAAGTAGAAGAGCAGGTGGGGGACCTGGTGCCCCAGAGCGGGGCTCGGCAGCAGGGATGGGGACCCCTGAGGTGGGGGTTATACCCCAGCCTCGCCACACTGCTCACAGGGCTGGGGGGTCCTTCCATGCATGGGCAACCCCGGGGGCCCTCCTTTGTGCTCTTGGGGTGCAGCCTGTCCAGCCCCTGCCCCCCACGCAGAGGGAAGTCCCTGCCGTCTCCTCCCCAGCTGCCCCCAGGGTGGGTGAGTTGCAGGGCAGCCCCACTGCCCCCCGCTTCCCCCCTCCCACGAGCGCTATCAAGTATTACTAAGCAAATCCCTGCGTTACAAATGTCTCTGGAGTGAATTCGATCAGCATTGATCATTCCTGACCACGCAGGTCCGGGCAGGAAGGGCAAGGGGTCGGTGCAGCGGTGAGCTAGGCAGGGCTCTGGCTCGGGGGCTCTGGAAAGACCCCTCCTCCCACCCCACAGCCCCCTCTCTGGAGCAGGGGGAGGCCAGGAAGCTGGAGGGTCCCCCCTGGGGCGCCAGGATCCAACCTTGGAGCTGCAGGAGCTGCCTGATGTCTGGGCTTCTCTCTGCACTAAAATCATCTCCCTGCCCCCGTGACAAATGTCGCCTTCCAGCTCACCCCAGTATCCCTGGGAGACCAGTTGCACCAGATCCCAGCAGGAACTGGGCTGAGACCTGCCCAACTCGAGTCTCGTGCAAGGTCCTGCGTGCCCGGGCCGGAAGCAGGGGGAAGGGGCAGTAGCAGGGAATTGCGGGGGAGAGCGCCGGGGATGATGGATGAGGCCCGAGCCCAGCAAGACAAATCGGAGCCGGGGGAGCCATCCCTGCGCACAGATTACTCGGCCCGGTGGGGCCGTGGGGGAGGGGAGGGGAGGGCAGCGGGCGACCGCGGGGGCTCTGCAGATGTTTATTTAATCGTGGCAGGCAGGATAAATCGCGGGCAAAGCAGCCACAGGCCAGGCCGCGGTGCCGCGGCACCCATCAATCTTGCTGCAGCCAGGTGTGCGCTTCCAGGCCTGCCTTCGCTGCAGTGCGCCCAGGCGGACTCGGGGTCCCTGCGCCCCTCCCCAGCCCCTGCAAAGGCTGATGGCGCAGGTAACCCCGGCTCCTCGAGGGGCAGAGTCTGCGCCGCTCCGGCCCGCCCGTGGGGAGGCTGCACCTGTGCAGGTGATGCTGGGGTGGAGAAGGGCCCACACGGGGCCTCAGGGACCCCATGGAGGTGCTGTATGGGCCGTGGGGCTGCAGCCAGGTCCTCCCGGGCTGCACAGATGGGGGCATGGGGTCCAATGTGTGGCGCAGGCCCCTTTTGCGCATGCCTCCCACGCAAGGGCGGCAGGCACAAGCCCACCTGAGCTCAGGCCCTGGCAGCCTGGTGCCCCCAGCCTGGCATGAGGACCCCCAAGCCCACAGGGAGCTGTCCTTCACAGCCGCTCGCTCTCACCCCTGCAGGCAAAGTCTACTTCCTGAAGACCTACCGCAAGCTGAGCTACCCCGAGGCCGTGCAGGCCTGCAAGGACAACAGGGCAGTGGTGGCCAAGGTGGGGCAGCTCTACGCCGCCTGGAAGATCCAGCTGCTGGACCGGTGCGAGGCCGGCTGGGTGGAGGACGGCAGCATCCGCTACCCCATCGTCAACCCCCGGGTGCGCTGCGGGGGCCGTGAGCCCGGCGTCCGCAACCTGGGCTTCCCGGACAAGAAGTACAAGCTGTTCGGGGTCTACTGCTTCAAGAAGGCGGGCGAGGTGGCCCCCAAGCAGGTGTCCAGCAAGGGGAGGCCTCTCTGGGTGTGAGGGGCAGGGGCTGTCCCCCCAGCCCGGACAGCGCTGCTCCTGCAGCCATCGGACACGTGCTCCAGTGGGAGATGGCGACCGCAGCAACTGCCCCCTCCAGCCCCCAGCTCCTGGCAGGGAGGACCGCAGCCCTGGCCACGGAGCAGCGGGACCCGGCTCCCGGCTGCCAGAACTGCTCGCAGGATGGGAGCCCCCTCTCCCGCTTCCCGTGGCAGGGACAGTCCCAGGTGCAGCAGGCCAAGGAGGGCGCTGGCAGGAGGTCCTCGCCCCGCACAAGGGCAGCGAGGCTCCATGCATGGGGGGGGTCATTCTGCAACCGCTGCCCCTCACCGCCCTGCCCTGCCCTGCATCGCCCGCGCAGCCAGACTCCTCTGCAGCTGTCTCCTCCTCCACTGGGGCTTGGAGGACCCCTCCCAGGCGTCCTCTGCTTGCACAGGGGCCAGGCTGGCCCAGGCCGCTGTCCTGCAGCTTCCAAAGCCTCCTCCTCTACCCAGGTTGGGTTGGGCAGACCTGGCAGCACTGCGGCTGGGGCTGGCAGAGACCTTGCTGTGCTTCTCAGAGACCTGTGGGGTCAGGGCCTGCAAGGGTCCAAGGCTGGCCCAGAGCCATGGGCTGGGCCATGCCCTGGTGATGACCCTCCACTGAGCATGGCCTGGAGGCCAGCGATGCCATGCGGATAGACGAGCTAGAGGAGCACATGTGGCACAATCCCCGCTGGGACATTGCCCCTGCCCACCCCCACTCTGCCCCTCTGCCCTGCACCATGCACTTTTCAAAGGAAGCTGAGGAGGAAACTCAAGCCCAGAGAGAAGAAGACCCTGGGTGTGCTCATGCCCAGGCCAGTGCCCTGCCAGGGGGCAGAGCCATGGCAGAAGCTCAGTCTGCTGCCCCCTCACTGCCTCTCCGAGGAGGATGGGCACTGCCCGCTGGTGCAGACTCAGCACGTCTGGACCCATCTCCCCAATGCCGCCCTACCAGAGAGCAGGACCCAGAGGATGACTGCTGGGGAGGCCCACGCGGGTGGCTTGGCTGCAGCTTCCCTTGGCCGAGTTACACCCAGGGGTCACAGAGCTTTTTCCAAGGGCTGGACATCAGGTCCGACCTCCTCATGACAGCCCAGGCACAGCACCAGCCTCCCTGCCCCGAGGGCACGGCCTGCATGGGGCTCAGCTCTACAGGGTCAGTCATCACTCTGGGTCCGTCTGCCCCGCTCCAGCTCTGAGACGCCTGCCATAGCCAGCACCGGGACCATGGGGCATTGTCATGTGGGAGCCCATCCTGCCAGGGGCTGAGGGCCTTCCTCTGGTGGGCCCAGACCTGCATGCCAGACTGAGAGTGAGGGGAAGGGCCCATGGTAAGAGCACCTGGTCTGGCTCTGGGTTCAGGGGGAGGTTACCCGGTGCCTGGGGTGGGGACCTGCCTTCCTGCCGCCCTGCAGATCCCCCGGGTGGGCGCGTGCCAGGGGCTCATGAGCCCCTCCCGTCCCGCTGCTCCTCCCTGCTCGCAGTGCGGCGCCCACCCTCCCCGCTGCATGCAGGCGGCCGCCCTCCCCCAGTGGCAGAGCCGCTGGACTCGCTGCAACGCTGCCCATGCATGCTTTGGGTGCTAGCTGCATGGCCTGCATGCATCGCTGTGCGAGGCCCTGCCAGACACTGCCAGGGAGGAGAGGGGAGGGGCCCAGTCGCTGGGGGCTGCTTTCAGCTCCGCTGGGGCTCCCTGCCCGTGCCGGGTTGGGGTCAGGTGGGTGGCGGCTGTGGTGCCGACACCAGCTCTAGACACAATAAAGACCTGGCAGCTAATGGAGACCCATGGGCTCCCGCCTCTCTCTCCTCTGCAGCCTCCCCCACGCACTTCCCTCCTCACTCCCCGGTGCCTCCAGTGGGTCCCTCTCCAGGCTGGCACCCCAATGCCCGCTGGCATTTGAGGGTGGGCCCTGCACCCAGCCCAGCTCCAGGGAGGGTACAGGGCTGGGATGCAATAGCCAGGCTCCGGCGCGGTGGGGGCAGGCACCCAGGGAGGGTGCCCCGCCATGGGGCAGTGCCCTGGGACACTCCCCTTGCCTAGCGCACAGCAGCAGCCGCCCCCAGGGTGGCTGCACCGCTGGAGGGTCTGGTTCGTCTCTGTTGCCCAGTGGCAGTGGGTGGGACACGGTGGCAGCGTGGGGCCCAGCGCTTCTGTGTGTCTATGTGCGTGTGTGTGTGCATGTGTGTGTGCACGCACCGATCCACCCTCAGGGAGCTCCTCCCCCTCCTCCCTTGCTGTAGCTGGGCCCATTTGGCCTTCACCTCCTGCTGGGGTGGGGAGGGGGGGCACCAGAGGCCCCAGGCAGTGCCCACGTCTGGTTTCCCCTCTGCCTGGTGATGCCTTTGGGGGACGGGGCTGCCAGCCCTGCTGCCCCATGTCCTGGGCAAGGCAATGGCTGCTCACCCAGACGCCATCCCGCTGCTGTCTTTGCCCCGAACCCAGACCCTGCCCTCTGCCCCCTGCCCAGAGCTGAGCAGATACACCTGGTGAACACCCCACGGCCAGCCCTGGCTCAGCCCCATCTGCCCCCAGAGCCAGCCGCAGGCAGATCCCCCAGGGCAGGGGCGTCTGCCCCGGCTCTCGTCCCCCACCAATCCGTGCCCCAGATACGAGGGGAAGACACGGGCTAAAAATAAACGAGGCGCTGGGGGGACTGGGCCGTCGGATCCACGCGTGTGCAGGTGCCATGCTCCGGGCACCTCAGCTCCCCTTCCTGCAATGGGCATCGCTCGCAGGCCCAGATGAACCGAAGGGGCTGCACTGCCCCGCTGTCTGACCCCTCCTGTCCAGTCCCCCCTTCCCCCCACTCCACAAGGACGGGCAGGCCCACCCGGGGCTTATTAACTGTTAAAAAAATTTATTAAAATGTCCAGCGGTCCAGAAACGCGGCGGGCCAGGGCCAGGGGGGACACGGAGGGCACCGCGGCCACACACACCTACCCGGACCGATGACACATGGGGAGGGGAAGGGGGCAAGGGGGGTCCATAAACCCACCAGGAGGGGCCCGATCCTGTCGCCCTCCGGGGAAATGTGACTCCTTGTGCGTGGGGCCCGGAGCTGGGGCAGGGAAGAAGGGACTGAGACCCCCGGGGGCGAGGGGAGCCCCTTCCCCTCCACGGGCAGGGGCTGCCTCCACCCCGGGGGTTTCCAGACTGCCTGCGGGGAGGAGAGGACCGGCCTGGTTGGCAGGGACGGGGCAGGCCCAAGCCCCAGGGTGAGAGGCGCAGGGCCGGGGCTGCGGGGCGCTGCTCCGGGGGAGGGAGAGGCCCTGCAGGGCTGGGAGCTCCATGTCCGGCCTGGCCGCCCCGTCAGGCCCGGCCCGGCCCCGGGGAAGGGGGACCGCGGGGGCGGGATTGTTCCCATCACAAACACATCTCGTCCCGGGAGGGGAGGGGAGGGCGGGGGGGTTGTGCTTCCTCGTCACCAGCCCCTAGAAG